GCGTTGTGGTGAGCATAGGGGCAACTCAGGAGGCTGAGGCAAGAGGACTGCTTGAGTCCAAGAGTTTGAGGTTGCTGTGAGCTATAACGCCACTGCGTGCAACTCCAGGGTGACTGAATGAGACTAGAGACTATCTCAGAAAAATAAAATAAAATAAAATAAAAGTGTAACCATTAACAGTAAAAGAGAGGTTCCATCTCACTTATTTCAGAACAAGATAGGACCTTTTCATATTTCTTTTCATGAAGTATTTGCAAGTTGTAGGAGAAAACTAATCACAGGACTCTTTGTATTTCAACTGGAGCCATTTGAACCCAGTTCCCATAGAAAAGTAAAAGTCTAAAATAACGTTGCAGGACTCAAAACAGTACACAAAATACAAATAGCAAATATTTGTAAAAGACTTAGAACAGTGTATGGTATATAGTAGGCATATAAAGTGTTAAATAATTTCCATCCTACAAGTTAAACTCCTATTAAGCCTTGACAGGCAACATTTAAAATTGCCCAGAGATCTAAATTTTAGGCCTACAATTATTCAGAAAGAATTATTCTCTCCCTCTATATATCCATCCACGTAAACATAAAATTAGCCTCAGGACTCTATCTTCTCAGACATTAAATTCTGTCATTAAATTCTGTGTGCATAATATTAAGAGACAAATCCAGCCCCAAATTTAAAATATTAAAAACTACATCATAAGGCTGCCACAGTGGCTCACGCCATAATCCCAGCACTTGAGAGGCCATCATGGGTGGATTGCCTGAGCTCACAAGTTCAAGACCAACCAGCCTGAGCCAGAGCGAAACCCCATCTCTAAAAAATAGCCGGCATTGTGGCAGGCACCTATAGTCCCAGCTGCTTGGGAGGCTGAGGCAAGGGGATCACTTGAGCCCAAGAGTTTGAGGTTGCTGTGAGCCAAGATGCTACAGCACTCTACCAAGGGTGATCAAGTGAGACTTTGACAAAAAAAAAAAAAAAGGAAATTAAGACAGTTTTTAAGTGGGCTTCCAAATATTAGCAAGTTGGCTTATAACTACATTAAAACTCTGTTGTTTCTAAAGAATTCACTACAAGGCAGAAACCATAAATATAACTTTATTAGAACTATAAAATACATTTTTTCTTTTTGTAGAGATAGGGTCACACTCTGTCACCAAGTCTATAGTGCATTGGCATCATCATAGCTCAGTGTAACCTGAAACTCTTGCACTCAAGTGATCATCCTGCCTCAGCCTATCAAGCATCTGGGACTACAGGTGTAGGCCACTACACATCTGTTGATTTTTTCTGTTTTTTATAGAGATGGGTCTTGCTGTTGCTCAGTCTGGTCTTGAGCTCCTGGCTTCTAGTGACCCTCTCACCTCAGCCTCCAAAAGGGCTGGGATTATAGGTTTGAGTCCCTGTGCCTAGCCTGTTCTCAAATGTTCTATGTAGATACTAACGTTTTTCACTGTGAGATGCAACATCCTCTACCAACCTTGCACATTCTTAGTCACACAGCCTTTCCTTCACTGTAACACTGTTCCTAATTAGACAGGCACGGTGGCTCACACCTGTAATCCTAGCACTCTGGGAGGCCAAGGCAGGTGGATTGCTTGACCTGAGGTGTTCAAGACCAGCCTAAGCACGAGTAAGATCCCATCTCTACCAAAAATAGAAAAATTAGCCTGGGGTTGCAGCAGGTACCTGTAGTCCCACTACTTGTGAGGCTGAGGCAAGGAATTCATTTAAGCCCAAGAGTTTGAAGGTGCTGTGAGCTACAACACTACAGCACCCAATCCAAGGCAACTGAGACTCTGTCTCAAAATAAAGAAAAACACAAAACTGTATTTGAATCTTTACCTCCTTATCAATGCACAAGCATAAAGGGGAAAGTCTACAATAAGCAATTAAGTTTGCTGGGGGTTATGCAGGTAATTGTCACCAAAAATGCTTACAAGGTGGTAAACACAGTGATCATAGTGATATTCAGCAATAAAAGATGCAGTACTTTTTATAGGATGAGTTGGAAAATTTAATTGTCTGACCTCCTCCTATGACATTAACAGTCACAAGGGTGAGAACATATGTGCCTCTACAACTACCATAATAGTTAGTTCTAGCTGGATAAGTTAAATGAGTTTTTAAAAACACAGGTGCTAAAATAATTCAATTTTAGAGTGAAATTAAGAATGGGATTTATGTCCCTGGTTATCTAGTGGTTAGGAATAAAAGAAAGTAAAAAGAATAGGATTTATGAAATTCATCCTAATTAAAAAGAATTTCAGGCTCGGCGCCCATAGCACAATGGTTACAGCACCAGCCACAAGCACCGAATATGGCAGGTTCAAGCCCAGCCCAGGCCAGCTAAACAACAAATGCAACAAGAAAATAGCTGGGCGTTGTGGCGGATGCCTGTAGTTCCAGCTACTTGGGAGGCTGAGGCAAGAGAATCGCTTAAGCCCAAGAGCTTGAGGTTACTGTGAGCTGTAACACCAAGGCACTCTACCAAGGGCGACACAATGACACTGTGTCTCAAAATAATATTAAAAAGAATTTCATAGCCATTCAAAAAGGAGTTAAACAATCAGCAATGCTTCTAAAGTAAGTTGCTTACCAAAAGTCTTCAGGCATACAGATTCTTGAGGATAGGGAGACTAATTTAATGACCTTCCAAGTCCAGGTATTATTAAAAATCTCAAGTACTGCATTATAAGTTAAGGTCATTCGTGTGGAAGGATAAAACTTGGGTTTTTTGTTTTTCATTTTGAGACAAGAGTTTCATTCAGTCGCCCTGGGTAGAGTGCCATGGTGTCATAGCTCACATCAACCTCAAACTCTTGGGCTCAAGTGATCCTCCTGATTCAGCCTCCTGAGTAGTTGGGATTACAGGTTCCCGCCACAAGGCCAGGCTAATTTTCCTGTTTTTAGTAGAGATGGGGTCTGCCTTCACTCACGGTGGTCTCAAACTCCTGAACTCAAGAAATCCACACACTTGGACCTCCCAGAGTGCTAGAATTACAGGTATGAGCCCCTCCCAACTGCCCAGCCAGGATAAAACTTTAATGACTGAGTGCGCTAGGAAAGATGCATGATCAGAATATTGTGATGGCACAAAATAAAATACTGCTTTAAGTAGTGGCCACTATGGTTTTAGAATTACTCATCAGGACAAGAATAATTACAAAATTCATTTCTAGAAGCTTGTTCAAAGATGCTGACTACTGCCACCAGGTTTTGTCACATAAAGCAGTATTTTTGCTGGCAAATGGACACATTAATGCTTAGCACTGGCTGGCTCGGGGGCTCACACCTGTAACACTAGCATTCTGAAAGGCGGAGACAAGTGGATTGAGCGAGCTCAGGAGCAAGTAGGTTGAGTGCTGTGACATCACAGCTCACAGCAACCTTAAACTTCTTAGCTCAAAGGACTGTGCTAACAAGCCTGAGCAACAGCAAGACTCCATCTCTACTAAAAATAGAACTAGGGCTCAGCTCGGCACCATACCTCAGTGAGTAGAGCACCAGCCACATATACCAAGGCTGGCAGGTTCAAGCCCGGCCCAGGCCTGACAAACAACGACAAGTACAACCAAAAAATACCCGGGTGTTGGGAGGCACCTGTGGCTCAAAAGGGTAGGGCGCCAGCCCCATATGTCAGAGGTGGCGGGTTCAAACCTAGCCATGGCCAAAAAAAAAAAAAAAATACTCGGGTGTTGAGGCTGGTGACTATAGTCCCAACTACTTAGGAGGCTGAGGCAAGAGAATCGCTTAAGCCCAAGAGTTTGAGGTTGCTGCGAGCTATGATGCTACAGCACTCTACCAAGTGCAACATAGTGAGACTCTGTCTCAAAAAATAAATAAATAAAATAAAATAAAAATAGAATTAGCCAGCCATTGTGGTGGGCACCTGTAGTCTCAGCTACTCAGGAAGCTAAGGCAAGTGGATCATTTCTTTTACTTTCTTTTTTGAGACAGAGCCTCAAGCTGTCCCCCTGGGTAGAGTGCTATGACATCACAACTCACAGCAACCTCCAAATCCTGGGCTCAAGCAAGTCTCCTGCCTCTGCCTCCCAAGTAGCTGGGACCACAGG